CTTGTAAAATAGTTATTTACTGTATTGTTAAAAAATGTCTACTTGTAAAATAGTTATTGTTTGTCTTATATTAAGATGTCTACTTGTAAAATAGTTATTTACTGTATTGTTAAAAAATGTCTACTTGTAAAATAGTTATTGTTTGTCTTATATTAAGATGTCTACTTGTAAAATAGTTATTTACTGTATTGTTAAAAAATGTCTACTTGTAAAATAGTTATTGTTTGTCTTATATTAAGATGTCTACTTGTAAAATAGTTATTTACTGTATTGTTAAAAAATGTCTACTTGTAAAATAGTTATTGTTTGTCTTATATTAAGATGTCTACTTGTAAAATAGTTATTGTTTGTCTTATATTAAGATGTAATGTCGAACAGGAATAATTTACTTGTTACTTCTTCCAACGTTAAGGTTACCTCAACGTGAATAGCCCGTATTTACCGATGCTATTGATTTGTTTTTGAATTTCGCGCAAAGCTACTCGTGAGCTGTCCCTAAGATTCAACTGATAAACTAGAGGGAAGGCAACATGACAACTTTTACTAAGCAGGTTAGCCATATAAACCATAATTGAAATACGCGTGTTTAAACATATTCCAATGATCTCTCGACTTCCTTATACGTGTGAAACTCTATACCTTTGAATGATAAACTTTGTTCGAGTCTATGTATAAAAAATATCATCGTTTCAAATTCTCTTGTAAGTAGAATATTTTCTTTCTGGTGTTGAATTAAACAAAATGGATTGAAACAATATAATTTGTTACTGTTTTTAATTTAGTTATTTTGCTTATGTTTTTAAAATATAAACTAAGATTTACCTAATCCTGTTAACAGCGTTAAGGACATATTTGAATTATAATACTGGTTATTTCAATTACACCTCGCTAGTCGATATTTAACACATGTGGTTTAGGTAGTATATGTGGTTAGTTAAAATCATTTATGAAAATGAATTTGTTTGAATTATTTTCTTGATTTAACCTCTAAGGTTGCGAATCGCGGGTTTCAATCCCGTCACCGAACATACTCGCCCTTTGAGTTCAATGTGGCAAGAACCATGTGGCAATGGTTCGGTTGCCATAAAATAAATAAAACACGTTTGGCTTAATTAAAGAAATGTGGGGTATAAAACTCATTTAATTACGTAAGTAAGTATAAAACTAAAACTACGTATAAAGCTGGCTTACAATAAGAAGCGCCACGGGTTGCATTTAAGTTTTATATAATCGAGGTTTCGAACACGATCTTCTCACACTTAACTTAAATATTTTTACATTGCACAGATGTACAATTAAACATATTGTAAGGTGTATTGCTAGTATATATGAAACTAATAAGTTACCTTTTTGTATTCTGTAACTTCTTTGCTTTGTAATGAAGAGAACAATCACGGTAGAGGTGAAAAGTATCACAATAATCCCGAACAATGTGGCCAGTAGGGGGCTGAGGATGAAAGTCGAATGATGAATCCCTCCTGTATGTAGGAGAAGAACTTGCTCAGTGACGTTATCTTTTAACAATACAGTAAATAACTATTTTACAAGTAGGTAATGATTGGAAGAAGTAACAAATAATTTATTCTTGTTCGACATTATAATGATTGGAAGAAGTAACAAATAATTTATTCTGTTCGACACTATAATGATTGGAAGAAGTAACAAATAATTTATTGCTGTTGGACTTACTCCTTCCAATCATTATAGTTAACCTTTCAGCTGTCAAAGTATGAATTCTTTAAATAGTTACTAGAATAACCTTTCAGCTGTCAAAGTATGAATTCTTTAAATAGTTACTAGAATAACCTTTCAGCTGTCAAAGTATGAATACTTTAAATAGTTACTAGAATAACCTTTCAGCTGTCAAAGTATGAATTCTTTAAATAGTTACTAGAATAACCTTTCAGCTGTCAAAGTACGGATACTTTAAATGTGAGACCAAAATATTTATCCTTGTGTGAAACTTGAAGACTATTTGAATGTTGAATTTATTAGTTTTATTCTTTTGGAGAACCACTTAGTTTCACAGATTTGGAATAGTTTGTATTCACATACGAACTAGAGAAGATTCTAGAACTCAAACTTTTACTCCCACGATCGTGAAACTGTTATGGTAAAGCATCATTTTGAATGTGTGACAATTTTCAACCTTAGAGAATCGTATAAATGAGAACTTATGAACTCTGCGAGTTGTTGAGACTGGGGATTGGATGGGCTGCAGGAAGGTATTCCGGTATTCAAGTTAGAAACCAAAAGTATATGTGCTCAGATAAAGGGATTGATTGGTTAGTACACAAAAACCTATTCTTTACTGACACATTTACTCACCTCTAAATAATGTTAGGTTCCGAAGAGACACAAGCGGAAAGTAAGCTTCATTGAGCATTTATCAGCCATTTATATCAACAGAACTCGCGAAAACCGCGAAGAAAACGGCTTGATAGCGCTGGAGAACCAGATCTTGTATTGCGCGACATGTATGGCCATTTCCTTGTTTTATGTGTGATTTTGGATGGTGAATTGGGTTTTACTTTCACATAGCTTGAAAAATAAGTGTTAATTCGGCCACACTGATTGGCATTTTAGATTCCACGAATCTCAAGGAGTTCAAATCTCTATTCAGAATTAAAAAGGAGAGTACCGGAAAGTTTTGTTTGGAAATGAACTGAACAAAAATGCCTCCCTGACTCGCAGAATTGGGTTTTAAAATTTACATTGATTACAACTACAGAAAGAGACACAGTTGGAATTTTTAAGCGTTCAAAGGAAGAAAACATAGTGTGCTAATAAACACTAACCAAATTAAGAAAAAGCAATTTTTTGGACTTTCGACTTCGGTAGTTTTGTTCTTTGTCAGTTCGGAGATCTTCGCAAATCCTTTGATTGTCCACGTCAGCCATGTTTGTCTCTACAGACATCACCAAGCCAGCAAACTGTGTAACTATAAACATAGGAAGAAAACAAAGTAACGTCGTGAAATATAAAGCTGTTTCATTCAGGATATTTTACTAAAAACAAACATTTGGTTGTAAATTAATGCCGTTGACTCGTTTCTTTCAAAACAATTTAATTGTTTGGTGTTTATAAAGACATTAATGAAGGAACGAAAGGGTTAACTATAATGTGTATGTGTTTGTGTGTTGTAGAGCAAAGCCACATTGAACTACCTGCTATGTCCACCGTGGGAATCGAACCCCGGATTTAACTTTGCAAGTCCGTAGACTTACTGCTGTCCCACCAAAGGACATCTTCTTTTATGTTTTTTTTTCTTCAATTACCAATTGTATTAACACGGTCACAATGACCCGTGCAGTGTTAATAATCCAATCAGTATGGCTGTCAGTTAAGAAGTCTATAGTTTCCTAAGGGGAAAAAAGTTTGGTAGCATCTGAGGTTCAAACAAGTCTATTGGAGAGTGCCATCTGGTGTACATATTTTCAACCGCCTATTTCAATCCAGTGTTATCAGGAAGAATCTGTGTTTGTTTGATTTCGCACAAAACATCTAGAGGGCTATCTGCGCTAGCCGTCCCTAATTTTGAAGTGATAGACTAGAGAGAAGGCAGCTACTCAAAACCACCCACCGCCATATCCTTACCAACGAATATTGGGATTGAACGTCACATTATAACACTGTCACGGTTGAAAGGTCGATATGTTCGATGGTTGGGATTCGAACCCGAAATAAACAAGATGGTGGAAGAACTACTTGGCTTAACAATGATAAACGGATTTAATTAGTGCTGGTCAAATGGTATCACTCGAAGCGAAACGGTTCTTTTACCTATTTTTTATGCTTGAGATTACTATAGCTGACCCCACAACATCCTTTATGCTGTCTGGAAGGATGAGCTTGTTTCGTTAATAAGATTTTTAATTACCCATACCTCCAGAATGTACTTTTATTGGCTCAATATTTCCCTATTCCAGTCTTTTCAAGAGCCATCGATAACCTACAAGTTCGCTTTGCTTACTTGTTTGTTTATTGTAGAACAGAGCCATATTAGGCTGTCTGTTGTGTCCACCATGGGGGAATTAAACCCCAGAATTTTAGCGTTTTAAGTCCGCAAACTTACCGCTGTCCCATCGAGGACTGGAAGTACGCTAATCCTGTTGAAATCTATTTTATTCAAAAATTGATAATTTTACTGAATTAATTATGTTGTTTTTTATTTTTGTAAAGCGCAAAGAAACACCATGGGCTATCTGTGCTCTGCCCATCACGGGTATCGAAACCCGGATGCCAGCGTAGTAAGTCTGCAGACACACCGCTGTGCCACTGGGGGGCAGAGAAAATGTTTCCGGGTTTCTGTTTATGGACGAGAGGGGGTATTTCGAAGTCTGATAGATAACAATTGAAACATTAGTGTGGTGGGGTTGTAGCTGAGTAATGTAGTAAACTAAACCAATCAAATGTCAATTCTCAATACAACCGAGGCAGTCTTAAAATTAGTTATAGTGTTTCTCTGTTTAGATTTAAAAAAAAAATGAATAAACAGGTTGGATCCGGATCTCAGATCTGGAGAGATTTGGCATACAGTAAGGTACAAGGATTTGGAATTTCCAGCAAATGCTTAGGAGAAATCAAAAGGTAAGGTTCCAGAAAAATAGTCTACATGAATTAAAACAAGTTACTCTAAATATTAGATTTTTCTAGCACAGCTTGTACTCGTACAACACGTACCTAATGGTGGACTTCTTGGAAGAATAACATCTGGACACTTTTCATGTCCAGAAAAATAGTCTACATGAATTAAAACAAGTTACTCTAAATATTAGATTTTTCTAGCACAGCTTGTACTCGTACAACACGTACCTAATGGTGGACTTCTTGGAAGAATAACATCTGGACACTTTTCATGTTGACCTGAAAAGGTTGTTTTCTGGCCGCTAGGTCTAGACATGTACAAGATGAACTTTTTCAATGTTTTATACAGTAAGATAAACACAATTATTCCTCATTGAATTTAATAGAAAACCCCGAGATTTAAGAAAACGAAATAAGGGATTTACATAACGGTACTATGTCAATAACTATCGTAATATTCACTATATGAATGGTTTTGGAATGGGTAGATTGGCTGTCTAGTGTCCAGTTAATATTCTGATTAAGATTTAAAAGAAAAAACAAAAACATTTAACAAGATAATTTTGTTTCATATTATACAGAAAATATTATCTCGGTGTTAAAAGAACTGTTGCCGAATTTTTCACTCATGTGTTTATAACACAGGCCTGCATTGATTTTATTATCTTATAATTTGTACATGTTATACAGTAATTCCTATACACCAAATCCGAAAATGATATCTATTTTTCTCCATCACGTACTGATTTTTCAGAAAACATCATTACACAATACATAAAAGAAAGACCATAACACGTAGTTTTGAAACTAAAAGACGTAGATTTTACACACAAAAAATCAGGATGATTGAGGGTGCATATTCGTTTGACATCAATGTTCTTTCCTTTTCGACAGTTTGTTTGTATTTTTGTCAACAAACATAATAATAAAAAATGTTCATTATGGTAAACGAAATAATAATTTGATCTAAGTAAGAGTCCCCCACCCCCGATTTGTACAAAATCCTTACGTGATAGAAAAAAAAGAATATTATTTTCGAAATCTGCGTAGCTGAACTATGGAAAATCCGTTATTAAAACCAAAACAACTTTTATGAAGTTTAAATTGTGCGATATGTTAAAACTTTTAGATCAAAACATTAAATACCTATACACATTTAGCAAAAATTGAAATTTCTTGCCATTTTAATAATATTCGTTACACTTGTTACTTCAACAGATTAAACGTTGTTGAATTGAGTCTTAGAATGATAAATAAAAACAATAACTGTGGTCTAAACACGGAAATAGATGTGTGCCAAATGTATTTAACTGTTACACATTGAAATCAAGGCATAGAATGTATATTTATGAGATCTTACTTAAAATCTGATTTATCGTATCGCCATCTATAAATTAGTAGTTTAATTAAAGGAAATTTTAAAACATGAAAACAATGATCATCAACATCAAACTTACTTATGGTCATCACACGAGCTCGTTGCTATCCCTGTAAGAGAGAAGATTGTTGTTTACCAGACAAACGGTGCCATTAGTTTTTACCTTTACCTGACATATTGTGTCATTAGTTTTTACCTTTACCTGACATATTGTGTCATTAGTTTTTACCTTTACCTGACATATTGTGTCATTAGTTTTTACCTTTACCTGACATATTGTGTCATTAGTTTTTACCTTTACCTGACATATTGTGTCATTAGTTTAACCTTTACCTGACATACTCTGCCATTAGTTTTTACCTTTACCTGACATACTATGCCATTAGTTTTTACCTTTACCTGGCATACTATGCCATTAGTTTTTACCTTTACCTGACATACTGTGTCATTAGTTTTTACCTTTACCTGACATATTGTGTCATTAGTTTTTACCTTTACCTGACATATTGTGTCATTAGTTTTACCTTTACCTGACATATTGTGTCATTATTTTTACCTTTACCTGACATATTGTTCATTAGTTTTTAATTTACCAGACATATTGTGTCATTATTTTTACCTTTACCTGACATATTGTGTCATTAGTTTTTAATTTACCAGACATATTTATTATACGCATGTTGCTGATTGTTCATCTGCTAAATTGTTTTAATTGATTGACAATTAAATGTCATTGGAAACTTATCAATTCCACAGACTAGTTCGTTGCTTATATGTGTTACTTCTTCGAATCATTATAGTGTCGAACAAGAATAAATTATTTATTACTTCTTCCAATCATTATAGTGTCCAACAGAAATAAATTATTTGTTACTTCTTCCAATCATTATAGTGTCCAACAGCAATAAATTATTTATTACTTCTTCCAATCATTATAGTGTCCAACAAGAATAAATTATTTGTTACTTCTTCCAATCATTATAGTGTCGAACAAGAATAAATTATTTATTTCTAGTAACTATTTAAAGTATTCATACTTT